GTTTCAACCGGTGTGTTAGTAATTACGTTTCGTCGCGGTCGTTTCGTTGATGACTTTAGGCAGAAACGACGCGTACGAGAATTAATTAATCGCGTTGATCCTACTAACTTCAATTAGTGAGCGCGAGCGCATTCCCGTTCGCTCGTTCGCGGAAATAACGCGTTTTTTTTTTAACGTACATACGTTCGCGTTTCGATTAATTTGTTTCCATTTTCTTTTTTGTTCTTTTTTTCCTCTTCTTTTTTTCTTTTGATTTCTTTTTGTTTTTTTCTTTATTTTCATTTTTTTTTCGACGGCTTCACTCCGACAATAATAATTATTTTTATACTTGACGTAAAATTTAGATACACAATTTTATCGATAAATTTGTTTTTTTTTTTTTTTTTTTTATAGAAAGTACTTCTCTTTAATCTTTGCTTAGTTTTTCTAATCGGATTTTATTTTCACGATAATAATTATTTATTAATAATAATAATAAAATTTAGATTTTCAATCATATCGATCAAATTATTTTTATTTATATATACATACGAGAAAAGTTTCTTTTATATATACATACGAGAGATAGAAAGGAGGTAGTAAATATACTTGTGTATTGTAGAACGAGACAAAGGTAGTAATGCGAATGAAAAATTCTAAATCCCCTTCTTGAAGTATATAGGCGTGACTGAGACCGTCTGATTCGAGATAAAGACGACCTTTAAACGTACTTAGCATACGCTCGCGCTTAGAACTTCACCCTTTGCAAACTTTACTCGTAGAAAGTGCCACTTTAATAGCTCTGACTAAGACCTGAGATTTCTAAACTAATTCTATCCCATTATTCAAGTTTCTAATATTTTTATCAAGACTTTCTCATATCTGAATATTCAAAGGTTCGATATCATTCAATTAATGTTCTAATTATCGATTAAGAAAAAAAGATACAGAAAGAAAAAAAAGAAATAAAAAGCGACAAAAAAACTAACAAAAGAAAAACAAAAGGAGAAAATCAAACGAGAGAAATTTCTGTCAAAGTTCGAACGTACTACGGAGAATTGGATTAACCCTTGGAGAACTTAGTCTACGATGCACTCGTGCATATATGCACTGCTATGTATACGTGATTACCTATATAGAGCCTCTCTCTCTTCCTCTCTTTGCCTATATATATATACGTATATATCTTTCTCTCTCCTTCTCTTCTACTATGATTCGCTTTATATGCACTAACTTGGTCGTAAATTGAACAGCAGCATGGCAAAGGATAACGCAGTGTTGATTCCTCGTGGGAGTCTGTGCATAGCGTGCTCTATGAGTACTACACACATGAACATACATACATACATACATACATACATACATACATACATACATACATACATACATACATACATACATACATAGGCGTATGTTTGCGTTTGCATATTTGTGTGTTTACATAAATATAGATACTATAGGAACATTCTAGTTACACGTAAGGATACTACAAGCTTATGTCAGCAGTATTTATTATAATAACTCGCATGGGGTTGCTCTTAACCTTCCTCATGAACCCATCGTCCATGTATTTACTTTTCTTTTTTTTTCTCTCTCTTCTTTCCCTTTTTTTTTTTTTATTTTTTTTATAATCCTAAGAGTACCGAACAAATGTTGAGTTAAGTCGTGCCACGATGAAAATCTACAACGTCGAGAGTTCACCAGATTTGTTCATTCACAAGGATTGTGGGTAGGTGATAAGGGTGGGGATGGGGATGTTACTAGAACAGCAGAGCGGGGTTGAGAGGAATTGGTGGGACAGGATAGTGGGGTGAGGAGATAGGTAATCAAGTTCTATAAACGCTTCTTCCTCTCTTCGTTAAAAAGCCAAAGGCAACAGGATATAATCGAATTAAGAGATTGAAGCCTGGTTTTGGACATCCTTTTAACGTGAACGACGACGACGACGACGACGACGACGACGACGACGACGACGACGACGACGACGACAAGGACGACAGCCATTTTATCTGTCACGTCTAAACCTTTATAATAAGAGGAATTGTGAAACTTCGTTTGTGCTCCAGCAAAAACAGCAAAGAAATGGCAACAACAACAACAACAGTAGTAATAGTAGTAGTAAAGTAACTAATTACATCTAATTGGCTAGACGAAAAAAAAATCTACTTCCGTGAAAATTCATCAAAATCAAGATAGGACCGGTGATTTAGAGGAGGAGGAGGAGGAGGAGGAGGAGAGGATGAGGATGATAATGAAAATGAGAAATTGAGGAATAAGTGGGAAGAGAAGAAGATGATGATACGAGAGATTAAGTTTTTCGTTCAAATCCGTAAATTAATCTCGTTTATCGTTAAATCATTTCAACTTTCTATTTATAAGCGTCTAGATGGAGTAGGACGATCAACGACGTTAATGAACTCTTTCGAGAAGGTGGTCTTCCTTATTTGCCTTCGAGCTATGAAACAAAATTGTTAGAGGAAGATAGAAAGACTACAGAAAGAAAGAGAGTAAGAGATAGTGAGTGTGTTTGTGTATATATCTCGAAGAGAGAAAGAAAAAGAGAGAAAAATAGAGAGAGAGACAGAGATAGAGAGAGAGTTAGTAAGCGTATACGTGTAAGTGTCTGTGTATGTGAAAGAGAAAGAGAGAGATAGACATTCGTTTTCACGAGAAAGTTAGTTCGCGACGTTCTGAAGTCGGTTGTAGGCGGTAGGCTACCTCCCCTACGTCTAACAAATTCTAATCTAATATAGCGTGGGCGCCTCGGCTAATGCGTGAACGAGGAGAGGAACCTCAAGGAACCTCGAGTACTACCAGGAAGAGAGATAGAGTGATTCAAGAATATTAACCTGTCTCTTTCTCTCTCTCTTTCTCTATCTATCTTTCTCTTTTCCTCTATCTCCTTTCGACTGTTACTTCGAAGAGTCTTCTTCGGGTAGCCGAAAAAGGAAAAGACGACGAGGAGGAGAGAAGGAAGATGCGAATGGGGAGACGACGAACTTTAATATTAGCACTCTGCAAGTCAAACTCGGCAATGCAAAATTAAAACTTCTTTGCACGGTCGTGAGCGCGTGTTCGAGTGGTTCGAGTCGTTTTAGCTTTTTCAAGCTGACGAACACAAAATGAGAGAGAGAGAGAGAGAGAGAGAGAGAGAGAGAGAGAGAGAGAGAGAGAGAGAGAGAGAGAGAGAGAGAGAGAGAGAGAGAGAGAGAGAGAGACTTTCTCCTGGCTTTGAAATGTCTGGAAGAACGAAGATTTTCTTCCTACTTGCTAAAGAAAGAAAAAGAGAGAGATGAAGGGAGATAAAAAAAGAGAGAAGATTTCCCAGATTACAAGGTGGTGAATTATAAAGAGTGGGTCGTGTTAGGGATAGAAAAGAGGGGTTGTTCCGGTGAATCTCCAGTTATTTCTTCTTTTTCCTTTTCTTTTTTTCTTTTTTAGGTGCGAAAAAAAACTCAATCGGCTCGTTGCACGTGTCCGAAGTATTAACACTTTGAATTCGTTGAATCTGCACATACGTGTGTTTATGTTGTATTTATAAACTTAATATTCTACATTAATATACTTTTGTATGTATGTGGTTATATATATATATATATATATATATATATATATATATATATATAAGTGTATAATATCTCTACATAAAGTTGAGCGCTATGTTTAACTTGATATTTAATTTCTCGGACGAAAACGCTAGTTGATTAGCCCGTGATTACATTATTCAACACGTAGCCCAATAAACCCGCGAGCCGTTTGATGCTGGAAGATAGAATTAGAACGCTTAGCCCTCACATCGTAATATAATAATCCCATGCGACTCTATTAATAATATTATTAATGTTATTAATGTTATTATTATAACATATATACATGTATATATGTTACATAGGTTTGGTACGTACGATGAAATAAATTTTAAATTGATAAAATGAAAAATTAAATTGATATGAAATTAAATCGATATGAAACGAAGAAAAATGATAGATACTTTTATAAAAATAAAGAAAGAGAGAGAGAGAGAGAAAGAGAGAGAGAGACAAACAGACAGACAGAGATAATAAAAGATTGTCAGAAGAGAAGTCGACTTTAAATAATTAAGTACGAACTTTATGAAGTCTAACCATCGACAGGGGGGTGTCGTGGTGATGATGTAGAGAGGGGGAGGTGTAAGAAGGTTCTGAGAAACGATTAAGGGGTCTCGACTTTTTTGATCGTCCGTTAGTAGACTTCTCTTCGAAGCACTAATGCGGAAATTCTCTCCCTCTTCCTCCTCCTCCTCCTCTCTATCCTCCGATCCTTATTCTCTTTCTCTTTCTCTCTCTTTTTTTACAAAAGCATAGTAGCTGACTGTATGACTCTCGAAACGAAGAGTCCTTGTAAACCGTCTTGATTCTCTCTTTTCACGAAAGAGAGAGAGAAAGAGAGAGAGTGAGAGTATTACCCTCCTCCTTCTCTTCATCTTCTATCCCCCATTCTACCTACCTACCTACCTACCTACCTACCTACCTACCTACCTACCTACCTACCTACCTACCTATCTACCTACCCCTTCAACCCTTGTCAGACGTCCGAGGGTGAATTGTTAGAATTCACTGGGAATGTCGGGTAACGCGAATTTTCTAGAAATTCCGCGTTCGCGTTTAGTCCAATGTTCGAAGGGTTAGAACGTTTGTCGAAGCTGTCACTTCTTTCTCTCTCTCTCTTTTTTCTTTTTTATTTATTTATTTATTTTTTTTTTTTTTTGTTTCATTTTTCATTACGCGAACTATCCATTCAAGAACGTTTCTCCGAACGATTGAGTTTCTCCGAAAGCTAATAGATTAATTTAAAAAAGAATGATCGCATAAGTTAAATGATGATTAATAAAAACGATCACACACACACACACACACACGTTAATATAATTAATATTGAAGATAATAACGTTTGTTCGTTTGTAACGATTCTTTGAAGAATAGAAACGATAGAAATGTAAACTAAAGAAATTGTTTGGTTGTAAAAGTTTGGTTGTAACTTGCCTTGCCATTTCTGTGTTGAATCGACCCTTAAGGTACCCTCGCTTTGAATCTGATCTTTACCATTGGTCACGCGACACGAGTAAAATCCAACGTCGGAAACGTCGAGGTTAGTGATCTTAAGACGACTACCGGCTATGTTCTTAGCTGCGTGCTCGTGTGCCTGTAAAATAATGTTTTTCTTTTTTACAATGTTATCGACGAATAATTAATTATTATTCGGTTTTAATCGGATCAAATACTATTACGTTCCCGTATCTTTTAATGGACGGACGAAAAAGAATAATAGTCAAACAAATACTTTATATATTTAATTCATTCCTCATTACATTTCATTTATATTAATAATATCTATATAATGAATAAAAAATACCTGAGCATGAATTTTCCTTATCGTGATCTTCGGTCGTTTCTCTTCAAGGGGTGCTTCATTTTTATACCAACGTATTTTGATAGGTGGTGGATCACCAACAGCCTCGCAACGCATATGAGCTACGCCACCTTCGTCCTTCGATATATTCGAGAGGGTCCTGACAAACTTCAAAGTACCACTTTTGCTGCCAGTGCTCGCGTCCACGTCGGTTCTGTAAACGAAACACATTCGAGAGAAACGATCTCGATAGAAAAAAAAAAAAAAAGAAAAAAAGGCACAAAAAAAAATCAGAGAAAAGAAACATAAAAGAAGGAAGAAGGAAGAAGAAGAGAACCCTTACATTATTTCTCGAATAAACGTGCTTATAAATCAATTTACGAGCGTCCTTTAGCTCGACCCTCGAGTACGATCCGATTCACCCTCTTTTCCCTCTCTCTCTCTCTCTCTCCCCCTCTCGTTAAGTCTAGTCTCGTCTCGTGTCTCCTGTACCACCCACACCCTCCCCACCTCATTCTGTCCCTTTCTACCCCCACCAACCCAGTTGTCCCCTCTATGTTGTCGCGAACGTACGAGAGAAAGAGAGTAAAAGAAAAAAAAATAAAACAAAGAGAGAGAGAGAGAGAGAGAGAGAGAGAAAGAAACAGAGAAAGAAAGAAACGAAGCCCAATCAAAAGGCGCTTTGTCAAAGGCACTATCGTAATAGAGAGAGAGAGAGAGAGAGAGAGGAAGAGAGAGAGAGAAGGGGGAGGGAGAAAGAAAAGCACCTTCCTTAATTTGGCATTGGGAGAGAAGTTACATGGAAGTCTTAATCAAATGCAGCTTCCGGTTTTCTTTACTTTCTAAGTGGGAGCAATCTCGTGCATGTCTACTTTGTACCGATACATAAATTTTAAAAAGAGAGAGAGAGGAAGAGAGGGAGAGAAAGAGAGAGAGATAGAGAGAGAGAGAGAACCGGATGTCGTGGTTCAACGACGCGAATGGAATATTAAATATGAGCGCGTTAATAGAGCAACGTTCATCTCCCTCGTACCTCCCCTGCCGTACATTCTCCATCCCTTAAAACTATAGAGTACGATGCACTCGAGCAAAATGATATATATTTATAGTATATATAGTAATATATATATATATATATATACATATATATGTATATATATGTACGTACATATACAGCAATCGGTTATTCCCCTATCATCGTTACGATGTTAGAAGTTGTATTATACGTATCTATATATATACGTATATTTCATACATAATATGCGTATGTATGAATCGCATAATTTAATGATAGGGCATGTAATCGGTTTGTAAAACGTTTTGTGAAACATGATTTTATATTTCTTGTTATTATTCAGAAAAAGATTTAATTTAATTTTATATATATATATTTTATTATTACATTTTACCATATCCCATATTAAATATATATATACATATATTTCTTGATTACGTTTGAAATATTTTCAGATTTATCCATCTAAAACCTGACTCGTCTAGAGTTTGATAATAATCAAATCTGACGTCTAACAATTCTTTCTGAATGATGGAACATACTTTTAAGCCTAAGATGGTTTTCTACGAAAACGGAGAACCAATCGTCGGGTTTGCCTTATCGGTTTCTCTGACCCTTTAACTATACCTACCCACTATGTACACGCGAGCTTGAACGTGCATAAGCCGCAAACATGGTATCATGGACATACACATACATACACACACGTGTATGTCAGAGAGAGAGAGAGAGAGAGAGAGAGTGAGAGAGAGACAAAGTTATGGCATTGGTCGATCGTTCGACGTATTCTATCTACGTTCATGGTGAACGTAGTGATTGTACACGAAGTCTTTGTGTTAGTAACTAGCCTTGCGTTTACTGCCTGGTTATTGAATATAAATCAACCTATGATCAGTAAGTCATCGCTTTTATGTACAGGCCAAACAAGAAGTTTCTCTTTCTATGTTTAATTGTATTTCGTACATACTCTCTCCCTCTCTCTCTCTCTCTCTCTCTCTCTTGGTTGAATGTTTAAACCTTAACGTAAACGAATAAAAAATTATTATGCATTCGATGAAAAAAAAGAAAAGAAAAAAAAAAAATACGAAAAACATTTATTATTAAATTATTATATTTCTTCGGCCGCAATTAAAAATGTATCGATTTTGCATCACTACACCATCCCTCTCTTTATCCCCTTTCAATCGATAGGCATGAACACGTTCGATACGATAATACGCGTTTGATCTAATAACATACGGTATCATTACGTATGCAATGTAAACGAATGAATGATTTTTTATTTCATTTTTCAATGGTTAAAATTAATTGGATGCGGATAAAGTTTGTTTTATTTTGTTTCGTTTCGTTACGTTTGTTTTCTCTTTCTCTTTCTATCTCTCTCTCTCTTCTCTTTTTTTTCTATTCTTTTCTTTTCTCCTTTAGGCGATCAAGAGAACGCGTCAAAGATGATATTCAACGAGCAAACAAGAAGTTATATGTATGTATATATGTATATATGTATATATGTATATATATACGTAACAGGGTTGTTTTGCATAGGACTATACTTATATAGGGAAAACGAGCGAATAAGTGGCCGTCCGTTTCTGCCACGGGACCGAAGAGATGATAGGGAAAAGAAGGCTATGTATGTATACGTATGTATACATATATATACATGTATATATACATATTATGTATATGTATGTATGTGTGTATCTCGATAATCTTTCTCTTCCTTGCCTTAAGGCTTCTACTAAATTTTCGAGAGAATTTTTATCGTCGAACGATGCGTTGGAAAAAAGAAAAGAAAAGAAAAAGAAAAGAAAAGAAAAAGAAAAAGAAAAAAAAAAAGGAAAAGAAAAAACAAATAAGGAAAAAAATTTTTCAAACAAAAATTATTTGCATATATGCGTATATATATATATATATTTTTTTTTTCTAACAGAACATTGTGTCATTGTGAAAAAAATCCTTACTTTGATTGATTCATATTAGATCGATGCTATATCAAAAATGTTAATGATCGAAACTCTATGATAAGTCGATTAATCGAAAAGATAAAAAGAAAAAAAAAAAAAAAAAAAGAAAAAGAGGTGAGAACGAATCCTCGTTTTCTTTCGGTAGACCTATTATCCGTGTATATATTTTTTTTTTCCTTTTTATTTTCTCACCCCTTCCACCAAACGAAAAGAACATTAGTCAGGAGACAGTCTCAGACGAGGATTAGGCGTCTGCCTAAGGTTTCTATAAATAATGCAACGCCTTACCTCGCCTGTGACCTCCCCCTCCTCCCCCACTAACACAAACTCTGCCAGTTTTGTTTCACCGGTGGTAACATCGAGCCAAAAAAGAACTAAGAGGTTTTAAGCGGAACGATTTGTATCGCTTTTCCTAGTCACTTTCTTGCGGCCCTTTATAAATATATTTTTCGGTACAGAGAGAGAGAGAGAGAGGAACTCAGACCTTTGTCATTTAAGACAAGAGTTGGATATTCGCAAAAGAAAAAAAAATCTTTTCCTTCCTATTACTTAGACATTTCTAATCGGTGTAATCGATGCTTTCTTAACACCGTATATAAATGTATATTCCTCTCTCTCTCTCTCTCTCTCTCTCTCTCTCTCTCTCTCATTCTCTCTTTGGAAAGCCTACAAGGAGCTACGTAGGGCATCAATATTAATGGAGGTGCGCCGCGTTTAGGGCGGAATAATGTATAGTGATCGCGGTAGAAGTCGACTTTGAGAACGTTCATGCACATACGATATATACACAGACAGGCGACCATGCATATGCAGAATGGTAACCTCTTTCTCTCTCTTTCTCTCTCCTTCTCCCTTCCACTTTCTATCTCTTTTAGTTTCATAATTGTGATATCGATAATAAAGCAACTAATTATAATAACGCGTGTGCAATGCTTTACGGTTACGATATATATATATATATATATGTATGCGTGCATGTATGTATGTATGTATGTATGTATGTATATATGATGTATAAACAACATTTTGAAATACCCTAAGTACAAATTTAGATAACGCGAAACCTATTTCTATATTTCATTATCTTCTAATTGCTCCTCTTTTGATTGGTTCATTTGTGCTTTATTGTATTTGTATATTTATCTATGAATGTATGTATTTACATCTATTATACCTTTAATTATTTATTAAATTAATGATCGCAATCAAATTCATGACGATTAATAATTGCTTACGTTTTATTAATTGTTATATTAATTTCAACGCATTGTTAAATTATATATATATATTTTTTAAATAACTTTTGTTATTTAATTATTGTTAATTAATTAATAGAAACTTTTTTTTTAATTAAAAAAAACCATTATAAAAAGCGGGAAAAGATCAATGAATGTACTTTTGAATGAATGAAACAAATGAATGGACATTTAAATGAATGAAACATATGAATGGACTTATCAATGAATGAAACAAATGAATGGACTTTTTAATGAATGAAACATTTGAATGGACTTTTTAATGAATGAAACAAATGAATGAACTTTTGAAGAATGAAACAAATGAATGAACTTTTTGAATGAATGAAACAAATGAATGGACTTTTTAATGAATGAAACAAATGGACTTTTTAATGAATGAAACAAATGAATGGATTTTTTAATGAAAGAAACAAAGAATGGACTTTTTAATGAATGAAACAAATGGACTTTTTAATGAATGAAACAAATGGACTTTTTAATGAATGAAACAAATGAATGGACTTTTTAATGAATGAAATTTTGAATGAATGAAACAAATAAATGGACTTTTGAATGAATTAAATGAATTCTCTTTTTTTTTAATTAAAGAGTAACTTTATAAAATACAGAGAAGATGATGAATGAATGGAATGAATGACCTAAATAAATTCCTAAAAAGGTAGTATTTACAAGAGTAATATAGTATGTAGTATATAGTGGTAGTATCAGAATGAGTTAACCGATGGCAAGGAGTGGGAGGGAGGATAATCCTAGGGCCGAATGTCGCGGCACGTGCCAGACTACGAAACAAAATTGATCAAAAAATTATCATCCTAGTCAATTAGAAGGCATTTATTATTTTTCTTTTTTATGTCAATTCGATCAATTTAACAAAAAAAAAATTCTTTTTAAATGAAAAAAAAATAAAAGAAAAAAGAGAGAATTATTGAGAATAGGATTATGAAGAAAAAGAAAAAAGAGAAAAGTAAAAGAAAGAAGAAAAAGTAAAAGGAAAAAGAAAAGATAAAAGAAAAAATAAAAGGAAAGAGGGAGAGGAGCGGAAAGCAAAAAAGAAATGTAATTTGTACCGATCCGTTTATAACGGAATGATGTGAAAATGTAATTCGCGATAGTACCGGAATTGCAGATTGGCCCCTATCGCCGGCACCTCTGTAAATTAACTCTCATCCGGCATTCGGTGAGAGCGCGGGGATAAGGGGTTGGTAGGTAGGTGGGTGGATGGATGGGTGGGTGGGTTGAGTTGGTTTCGTTGGTTGGTTGGTTGGTTGGTTGGTTGGTTTGGTTGGATGAGGTGGGGAATAGGGAAAATTCAAATTTAATCATGCGGCCTGGCCGCCCGCAAAAGCTCGCGCGAACGAGCTACGACGACGACGATGACGACGACGACTGTGACGACGACGTATACGAAGAGTAGTAGTAACACAGTACCTCCGAGACACTGTACACACCACAGGAAGTGGCATTATTAACTTTCGAATCGAACCAATCAAGTCGCTTCCTTATTAAGCCCCGCGGCGCGCTTCCAACTCGGTTTCCTAGTACACAGAGAGAGAAAGAGAGAGAGAGAGAGAGAGAGAGAGAGACAGAAGAGAGAAGGAAGGGCGTTTTCCATTCCCTGTCCCCTCCCTTACCCACTCCTCCCTTTTCATCCCTCTTTCTCTTTCGCTTTTCTACCTACCATTACTCCCGCTCTCTCCATAAACCCCTTTTACAACAATTAGACAGAGAACCTTCCTCCTGAAAGCTTGACATTTCTCGTATACAAGTTGAGACGTCGAGTTTTTAATATTTCAAAGTGTAGATTCGAAGGATCGATCGATCGTGGGGTGAGAAGGTCGGGTGGGAGGTGGAGGGTTATGTGTTGAGGGGATTTTCAGGATTAGGGATGGTTGATGTGATGTTTTGTTTTCGAAATATGCCGAGAAGGTTGGATATTGTAATGTTCATTTTTTTTCATGCTTTTTTTTTTCTTTTTTCCTCTAAGAAATATTGATAATAATAATGATGATGGTAATGGTAATGATAATAAAAAATGATTCACCCGTTCATCGTCGAATCGAAGACGTCGTTGTAATCCTCCTCGGTATTATAATCCTGTACGTCCGATTCGAGATCCTCGACCTCGCCGTTGCCATCTGTAACAGAGCAAGAAGAAGATAAAAAACAAAAAAAAAGAAAAAGAAAGAAAGAACGAAACGAAACGATACTACATAAATACATACACACACGTATGTATACGAGGTAGGCATACACCTAGGACATTCAGAGAAAAAAAGATAAACAAACACGAGGGCACAAATATCAAGGATAGGGACGAATAAAATACGAAATTATTAACGTAGTGATCTTATGATTACTTCGAACAAGTACGAATACCATTAAAATATTAATTAATCGATTCTCGTGCTCAACACCGATAACGAGTGTTCCTTTTTCATTCTATAAAAAAAAAAAAAAAAAAAAAATTAGCACGAAAAAAAATGAGAAAAAAAATATAGAAAAAAAGGAACATTATATATAGCGAGGATTAACGATTGGCTCGTGTGCGCACGATTTTTTAACGTGATAAGTGATAAATTTCTAATACGACGACGACGACGACGACGACGACGACGAATATCGTCGTTTTGCTTGCCCACGCAATGAAACCGGCTCGAATTCAGCGAGACCTTAAAGAGAGATAGATAGATGGATAGACAGATAGAGAGAAAGAGAGTGAGAGAGAGAGAGAGAGAGAGAGAGAGAGAGAGAAAGCTTTCCATTCTCGCTGAATTTATCATTCTTTCCGATCCTTTCACGCCCACGCTCGTTCATCACTAGCACGAAGATACAACGCCATTGTTTCGCTTTGCTTTAGTATCCTTCTCTCTCTCTTGTTCTCTTTTTTTCTTTGTTCTTTCTCTATAATTTCCTCTCCCCTTTTTTTTTCTTTTTTTAATTTCTTTTTCCTTTTTCAATGAAGAGATCCATAAACGCGAATAGACTTGATTTCGACCATGCTGTATATATACATATGTGTATGTGTGTATATATATATATATATATATACTTAACCATTATCCCTTTCAATAATCCCTTTCGTCCTACGTAAGTATTTAGAAGGAAGATTAGCCACGAATATTGTCTTGTCTCGTTTATGGTCCATAGACCGCTTTAATAATAATAAATCATAATTTTCTCTTAAACTCTTAAACGTCTTGACATCGCTATTACGATCTATATATATATATGTATATATATATATATATATATATACATATATACATATATATATATGCATATTGTATTGATTATATATATATATATATATATATATATGTATAAAATAACAATGATAATAATTAATGATCTATCCTATTAGATAAAAGACAATTGACAGAGGAATAGAATGGATGGAAAATTTTCGTAGAAAATTTAACTTGTTTAATTTATATTATGTTATATAATAAAGCAAATTAATAAATCATCTCCCCTAAAGAGAGAGAAGAACTGTGTGTGTGTGTGTGTGAGAGAGAGAGAGAGAGAGAGAGAGAGAGAAGATATCATCAATCTTATTATCAACGGTAATCGTATAATTATTAAACGGATTAGGACGAATCCTTCGGTCCGAGAGGGATGCCTTTTTTTTTATCTTTGTCTTTTTCTTCTTTTCGACCTCCTATAAAAATAAATCACGTTTATAGGCGCATCCTCTACGTTGATAATGATCATTGGAAGAACGTTCGGTATTAATGCTTTTCTCTCTCTCTCTCTCTCTCTTACGTCTAATTATCTACGTGATTGTATTTACACAATTGTTAAATGCGGGGAAAATGTTAAAATCGTAATTGAGAGAAACGTTTAACAACTACTAATACTATTACAACTACTGTTTACCTCAACCACCTCCCAATCCCTGTGGTTGTAACGAGTAATTCGTCCCATCCATTTATTCATCCACCCACCCATCCGACCCACTCTACTACCCCATCATCCCTCCCTGGAAAAGTTTAATATCGAGTTGTTATGTTGGACACACATCAAGGACACACACGCACATACATACTCATCGATTGGACAGATATATTATATTTACATATGTACGTACATAAGTGTGTGGGTGTGTGTCTGTGATTAAAACACGATCATGGTGGTCTATCGTGCTTAGGCACGAGGCCAACTTATTAAACAATGGTGTGAAAGATCACGTCGGTTTCTCTCTCACCCCATTCTCTCTCTTCCCACCTTGAAACACCATTCTCCATCCCCTTCTCCCTCCCCACCACATCGCCACCACTCGTTCGACTTTTACGCGTCAGCCGTTCGGCTGCCAAGTGCCAATTAAATTTACCGTCACCCTCTTTCACACACTTCTTCTCTCTTTTACTTCCTTTGATTCCGTCGGCGTCGTCGTTGTTGTTTCTTTCATTTTTCTTTTTCATCCTTTTTTTTTTTTTTTTTACTATTTTTCAACTTCTCGTTTTTATTTTCGCACTTCTTTTTATTCTTAATCTTTCACTCTCGCTCGAACGGATAAAGATAGACCACCAACGAAGAGATTAGATCTAACAGAGAAAGATTTCGATGTACTATGTTTATTTATATAAAATCGTATATGCGTGCCATTGTGCGTAGTTATACGTTCGGAATAAATCAAATTAGTTTGATCAAGCCTCCCACATCACCTCCAATAAATGATAATACTAATTATAATAATAATAATAATAATAATAATAATAATAATAATAATAATAATAATAATAATAATAATAAATGAAAACAAATGTTTCAAGAGACATATTACGTCGATTAAATATACGAAACACAAGTGTTTAATTTATCGTGAAATCATTCATTATTATCATTACTATTATTATTATTACTATTATTATTATTATTATTATTATTATTATTATTATTAATATTATTATTATTATTTATATCCGTTCGTATGTATCATCGTTTTAAATTATTTCGTATGTACAAAGTTTCGCTTGATATCACGTACAAAAACACATATACACGCGCACACACAGAGAGCGAGAGAGAGAGAGAAAAAAGACACACATAGACATCAGAGAGCGAATGATATATCTAACGAAATGTGATTCGTTTTTAACGTATAAACCATTTTTAATATAGGTTGGTATATGTTAGAAGAGAGATTTATGTTCGACGAGAATTCTTTAGGGGGTTTCTTCTTTTTTTCTTTCATTCATTCTCTCTTTCTTTCCTTCTTTCTTCTTCCTCTTCTTTTTCATCCGTAGACACGTGAAATAAAAAGTAAAAGAAAAAAGAAAGAAAAGTAAAAAAAAGGAAGAAGAAGAAGATAGGAAAAAAAAGATAATAGAATCTCGATTTCTCTTTAAACGAGAAACAGACGGTAACGACTATCTCGTGAAAAAAAAAGAAGAAGAAAGGAAAAGAAAAAAAAAATATCGAAAGAAAAAGAAAATTATGCGACTCGTTTGCGTCGAAACCCTCTCCTCCCCCTCACTTGTGTTCAGCAACAGAACGTTGGAGTATAATTATCGCATAGGATTGGCCAAGTTCGAGTTTGGTGTTGCCTTCCCTCTACCCCTGCTTGCCTGCCTGCCTACCTCACCTAACCTTACCTAACCCCTATCCAACAGTTCTCTGTTGTTGTTGATCATCTCTCTAACTAACCCATCTCTAGAGGATCGTCGTCGTATACACTATAATTCGTATACACTATAAAATATAAACAGGTAAAACAGAGAAAATGTGATAAACAATGGCCGAAATTGAGAGAGAGAGAAAATGGTTAATTCTGTTTTTAGTCTATGACTACTTTTGCTTAGGGTAAATACATATTAAGGGGAAAATTGCTCTCTGCGGTCTCGTAAAAACAAAACCGCGATAATCCAAAACTCTCATCGATCATCAGGAGGAGTTTCAAGCGCTTCTGTCGAATCATTAGGGGAAATAATGACGATAAAATTATTAATTCGATTTATACTCTGTTCTCTCTTTGTATTTGGTTTTTCTTTCCTTCTTCTTTTTATTATATTTTTTCTTTTTTTTTTTCTTTCTCATTTTCTTTCTCGATGCAACAGAGAGAGAGAGAGAGAGAGAGAGAGAAAGACAAAGAGACGAGGAGAGAGAGAGAGAGAGAGAGAGGTCCAATAAAATTGAACGCTATTGTAATTCGTGTTGCAATCTAACTCGTTTCTGCTGTTTCATTCGTCGATTCGTTTTTCCATACAATTCGCGAAGTACTTTTGACGAACATAAAAACATTTCGCGCTTGGTGAGATAAAAAAAAAAAAGAAAAGAAAAAAAACAGGAAGGAAGAGGGAAAGATTTGGACCAAAAAAAAAGAACAAAGAAAAAAGAGGAAACGAAATAATACGAAATATGTATACGTGAATACACGTTTTCAATATACGCAAAATACGCAGCACACATACACGTACACATGTATACGCATAAATGCGTGCGTACGCACGATAGCTTCCACATAGCGTATAGATCTAGAAGCATATGGTAACGCTTTGTGTCTCTTTGGAAAAAGGGAATGAAAATATTTTGAAAAAAACTATTCGATCTGCGAATCGCGACGAGAAATCTCTTTCGTCTTCTTTTTTCTCTTCCTATCTTTTTTTCCTTTTTATCGATCAATCGCAACGCCAATTTCTATCCTGTTTGGAATATAAACCAGTGTATCTTTATCTACGTGTATGCGCCTGTGTATGCGTGTAAATTGACTTATTTGTTTTCTTTTTTATCCTTTCTTTTCTTTTTCCTTCTTTATCCATAAAAACGGCTATACCGAAAAGTATAACGAGTTTAACGAACAAACAAAAAAAAAAAATAAAAAAGAAAAACAAAGAGAAGAAGAAATGAATGATAAAACTTTCGTATATAATAACATTAAAGATATATCAACAATTTCTATCGATAGGAAGTAATTGTTGGAATGTAATCAATTTATAGGATAAAATGGAACTCACCCTGTACGTGCGTGCGTTAGATTGGTCGGTTGTTCGTTCGCTCGGTAGCGAACCCTCGAACCATACGAAATCGTCTAAACAAAATTTCAATTTCTCTATATCTACCATCCCTCTGTTCCTCTTTCTCCCTCTCTCTTTCCTGTCTCTGTTTCTATCCCTGTCTCTCTCTTTCGGACCAGAGA